CAATCGCTCCCCTCCCCGTCCTCGTTGCATCTCTAAACTCTTCCTCCCTTTCCTCCCCTTCCCTCTCCTCCCCTCTTCCCCAGCCCTGCCAATTGCCTGCCTCATTGCTCCAGTTCTCCTGCACGCTGGACCAGTCTGTGCTGATGAGCTTGCAAGGTCACTGCCTGGGGAGGGGGAGGAGAGCCTCCGGTTGTGCTCACGTCAGCAGAGATGTCATATCGCTTTCTGGTTCCTGTGGTTTTACTATGAGATCCTGCCCCAGACGAGGCACAAATTCAGAGGGTTGCCTAGCGTGGCCATTGCAGGCTGAAAAGGCACAGATGACTTAAAGGTTTGTGGATTCCGGATCTGCTTCTGGATCGATTGGATGGTGGTGTAGGACTTCAGGAGATAGGTATACGTTTTGAGCTTGATACTCTTAAAATATGCGGAGATAGGAACCAGGAGCTCTACCTTTGTAACTATGATTGAGGCAAGAGGCAGAGTTTGAGCCTGCTTGGTGATGAAGACAGAGTGTGAGTTGTAGGTGGTGTGAGAGGATTTAGTCTTGTGGGAAGGGGAGAGAGGAAAGAATGAGAAGAAAAGCCTTGGTTATGTCTCTGCAGTGTGAATAACTAAAGGAAGTGGCTATTGATGAGATATGGCTAAAAATTTATCCTGCCACTCATAGCTAGAATAGTCACAAGATATCAGGGTCCTGGTGGCGCTGGAAGGAGATGAAGACTGTGAATGAATCCAGTTTTATGAGATAGTTCTCAGTGCAGACAGGCTGAGATTCCCACGAGGCTAGAGAGTCCTGATGCCTCATATATCAGTAGGAGATGCTTCAGTCCTGGTTTTTGCGATTTTGGCTAAAATGGGCATCTGGTTTTCAATGTAAACATAGATTTCAAGGCTTAGTCTAGAGCTCTGGTCCTATAAATTCTGTTTTATTTTGAGATACTCTGGCTTTCACTCCAGATATTCCTATATAATTCTTTTTTTCCTCCATAACTACATGACAGATTAAGTACATACTTCTTTATAGAACAAATTTTGCTTTTACCCATGCCCTAGTTCATTTCTCTGTCTCTGTCCTCTTTTTTTTTTTTGAGTTAGAGTCGCACTCTGTGCCCAGACTGGAGTGCAGTGGCATGCTCACAGCCACCGCAGCCTCGACCTGCTGGGCTCAGGCGATCCTTCTGCCTCAGACTTCCAAGTAGCTGGAGCTACAGGCATGCACCACCGTGCCCAGATAATTTTTTTGATTTATTGTAGAGACAAGGTCTTGCCAAGTTGCCCAGGCTGGTCTCACCTCGGTCTCCCAAAGTGCTGGGATTACAGGCTTGAGCCACCACACCCGGCCTGTTTCCCTCCTCTTTTTCATTCTGCCTAGGAGGAACTGAACTCAGCTCTGTTGTATGCTCATGACTCTGAAGCAATTGGGAGAACCAAAGGAGTACTTGGGTTCATTAAGTAGCAGTGATGCCTAGAAATGAATATATGGCATGTCGCGAAGTTGATGGTGAAGAATGTCGCTATCAAAAGCCAGAATTAGGACAAAGAAAAAACTACAAACAGATGGGAGAGAAGATAACCTAATTCCTAGCAGGCACTGTCAGTGGAAGAGGTGTCTCCAGGTTCATGGAGAGTGAATTGTTATGGGCCCTGGCCAGCTCTGGAGGAGTAGCTGCTAGCTCTGTGCAGTCACCAAGCCGGGGAGGGACCATGGCTCTGATATAAATAGTGCTGGGAGCCAGAGTCGCTATGGAGATAAAGCTGAATCCTATTACCTGCAGGTCCTCTGTAGGGAGCAAGGGGGAAAAAAGAAACAGTATTTTGAGGATTCAAGAGGTGTTGCAAATAGGCCTTGTTTATTATTGGACGAGAAAAAAAGATTGAACTCTACTTATTATCTAAATCAAATAAGGGCCTTGAGCATACAGGGAGTATGTATGCCTGTATTTATGGGAGTGTACCCAGCAGCAGATGAGGGAGTGGTGTGTGTGTGTGTGTGTGGCATAATGGGATTCTCTGTGTGTACACTGGACAAGGTCTTACTGAGGCCACATGCGGAGCACAGAGGTAGAATCCTAGAGCACTGGAAATAGCCCTGTAGTGGAGTGAAACATTTTAAATTAGAAGTAAGACCAGGTAAGCTTTTCCAAATTTTAGGACAGAGTTTAGAAATTCCTCTGAGCACCTCTTCCCGTCCTTGCAGAAATTCTAGTATTTTTGCATCTTAACTCATAAGCTCTGTAATATATAGTAGGACAAATCTTCATTTGTATATATTGTATTACTGATTCCGATCCTGAGACCACAATAGAAGAGAAAGACTGTGATTCAGCACCAAGGGCAGAGCTAGTGGCAGTAGCCACTGGGCTCATTTCTTTCTGGAAAGGGGAGAAAAGGCAGTTGGGGCATGGACATTCTTCATTTGAGATCGCATGAGATAGAATAGCCAGCTGTTGTTAATATCTGAGTGCAACTAACTAGACAGTCTATATAGTAGTTTCACATCAAGCTGAATGTATTGTTGAAACAGAATAATTAGGTTTCTAACTAGGCCTAGAAGCGCAGGTTAGTGCTGGTTGAAGAGTCTGGTTTGTTCCCGATCCACCCTGGAGTGATCCTGAAAGTGACTCTGCTTTTGTTATCATAATGACTAAGTCCAGATAACACTGCCTACGTCTGGTTTTCTGAGACAGAGCCCTAGGAGTCAGGCTGGCAATGAGCTGGTTGGTAGGGATGGGTAGGTGAGCCATCATTTATCCTACTTCTTGACATTTGACTCTGTGAGCTCATAAGCCTAGACACTAGGCTAGCAGGTATCAGGTTCTGCTATCTTTAGTACTAACGTGGAAGACCTTCTGACCTGTGCCCGGGCTGGGATGAAGTTGAGAAGGATGAGCCCTTTAGGCATAGCAGTTGATCTTATCAGTACTTTTTTCCTGTTAGACTTGGATTTTCAGATACTATCAGAAGTCCTCCTGGGAATGCGGACTCCTTTCTTGGTGCCCTGAAGTTTCTCTGAGATGAACTGGTGAATTGGAACCATGGTGCAAAAGAAGAAGTTCTGTCCTCGGTTACTTGACTATCTAGTGATCGTAGGGGCCAGGTAACCAAGAAGAGATTGCCTTTTGTCTAAATCTGAGATAACCACAAAACTTGCGGTCATTCCCTTTTGCTCTTTTCCATGTTGCTTAGTATATCTCATTCTACCCCTGTTATCTTACCCTGAGGGGGCCACTGAGGCTAGTAGTGAAAACGGCACAGTCAGGTGGATTGAACGTATTGGCCT